CCCGGGGAGCGCCGCGCTCGCACCGCTGCTGGGCCCGGGACTTCAGGCTGCAGCCGGCTCCCCGGGCCCGGCGGCTCCCGGCAGCGCAGAGGGGCTTTTTTTTCTTTTTTGCAAAGGAAGCGATAAGCAGGAGAGTCGCACCTACTGTGAAGGCCATCCCCGCTTCCATCACCAGCTGCCCGTCGTTGCCTGTAACACAAAACAGCCCTACCTGGGGGCCCCTCCCGGGAGCCGACCTTTGCTTGCTAAAGCCTTTCCCGCCCCGGGAGGACCTGGGTCCTATCCTGTCCCTGCACAGCAGGCCTGGCCCCCGACAGGCTGCAGGGACGTGGCAGGGGTGCTGGGCTCCCAGCACTGAAGCTTGGGCTGGGCAGGGGTGGCCTTACCGTGGTGCCAGACCTCAGGGTGGCCGTGGAAGTAGGAGCCGATCCCGTGGCCAACGAAGAAGGGGCAGACGCGGAAGCCGCCGTCACGGGCCAGGCGGCTGCAAGGGACAAAATGGGAAAGGTGTCAGCATAGGCCTGCCTGTGCCCCTGGCTCTCAGCTGGGCAAGACTGGGCACAGGGCCTGGCGGAGCAGGGAGGCCAGGCTGGTGGTGGGGGCGGTCTTGCCATAGTTAGGCTTCAATTTGCACCCCTGGGGGCTCTCTCAGCTCCTATTCAGGGCTGGCACGGCCTACACACGTTACCCGATGGGCATAAGCCCCCCTAGAACCAGGCTGCCAGGGACTCGCTCCAGCGGCAGCTGGCTCAGCCCTCCTGCAGAGCTGCCAAGTGCACACGGAGGCCTTTAACTAAGAGCTGCACCCAAGCACGGAAGGCTCACACCTAGTGATAAGCCAATGCAAAAAGGGTAGGTCTGGTTTGAGGCTATGAAACCCAGCTGTGACATCTGAGGAAGGACTATCATCCTAGTTATCTCATTTGTGCTCACTCTAATGTGCCCACCGCCATGGCATCCAGTCACCATTGCATAGAATCTGCACAAAGAACCTGTCAGCATCTGATGAAGTGAGCTTGGGCTCAGAAAACCTTATGCACCTTTCGATTTACTTAGTCTGAGATGCATCTCTACCCTGCTTTCTTTCTGTACAAAGAAAGCCTTCCATAGCACCCCAAAGGTGGCAGGGGTTGAGGTGATCCTGATCTCTGGCACTCTGGAGTTTGCTGAGAGCCCTTCCTCATCAGTGCACTGCAACAGAGACCAGATTTTCACCCTCAAGCTACAGAATTTCCTCTGATCACAGCTGTTTGCACCAAGGTGCAAGTGGAGCTGGGCTTCAAGTTTTAAAGGGTTTTGAAGATTAGAAACAGAACTTCAAACACAGCCTTTGGGAATTGCAGCTGGAGTTTAAATCACCATCCTGAGTTATTAACAAGTCAAATTACTATATGTATGGACACTTAGTAGGTCTTCCTTTGAGATAGTGGATGATGGGAAGTGGGCACAATGTCTAAGAATAACAAAGACTAGGCTGGAGAAAAAAAGAGTTAGTTACATTTAACGATTTTACCAAAAAGAATGAGAAGTATCATGTGTTTTTCGTAAGTTAAATTAATGGACCTCTCTATTTCTGCAGATATGAAAAGTAACCACCCTACTTGAAGCTTGTATATATTTACACAGGGGTCCTTCTCAGGGCTTGTGTAGATAGGGCCAATACAAACAGGTTAAGACACATCAACTAAAGGTGTGAACTCCATAGGCAGAAATTAAAGTAGACTAAACCCCTATTTAGAGACTCTAATTCAGGTACAAAGTGGTTTCAGATTGCTGTAATTTAAAACTGCTCTGAGGAGGATTGTGCCCATGTAGAGGAGCCCCTACAGAGCCTGGAGTGCTCACCCCAAGCACTTGTGCACCATAGTCCAAGAATTCACTGTCACCAATACAGGTCTGTAACACAAGTGAACCGGGGAGAAGCTGGTCAACCATTGTTAATAATGCATTTGCAGAGCTCATACCCAAAGTGGATGATGTAACAGGGTCTGTATGTTAGATACTACCTGCCTGTCAAGCTAATAGATGTTTTTAGATATTACTTCATTTGATTCTGGAACAGAGCAGGAATCTAAATTTAAGATAAACCCACTTCTTTTAGGGCTTTCTAATTGGCAGAGAAGGCTACTAATGGGAATAGGTTGTACACTCCAGTCGGCTGGGATTTTTATCTCACACATCTGTACAATTTAAATGGAAAAATATCATGGAAGTTAGAGATAGAAAAGCCTCAGTAGCACATTAGATTCATCTCTTAGTTGTGGCAGAGCATAATTCAGTAATAAAAGGACTTGGGATATTGGGAGGCCGAACAGGAAGCAGTGGGAATGGAGAGGAATTAGAAAGTGCTTTGCTCACTAACACGTATAAAGAAAATGTGAGAGCCCTAGCTAGGAAACTAGAACTGCAACGCAAGCTGTAGTTCATGTCACACTGACATGTTGAAACAAGTTCTGCAAGAGGAAAATATGCACACTACAGACTTTTGTGCCACCATAGTTTTGCCTGTGCTCTTTGTGTGGTATCCTAGGTCACTGGCAGAGCCCAACCTAATTTTTTTCAGGCCTGTATCTTTGCTGCAGGATTGCCTTTCAAAACTCTTCTATTGTGGGCTCTTCTATAAAGTGGGCTTCTACAAAGCAACTAGTTTTGAGCACCAAGATTAAGTGCATGCTTTGTCTTGGCATGGAAAAGCTCTAGTGTTTTCAGTGACTAATTGAGTGGTGAGCAATGCCAAACACCAGGAATATGGAAGTAGCAGCAGTTGCTTTTGGGCACAAGAGTAAGAGTGTCATGACCATCATCATGTGAAGACAATGCTGAGATGGGTTTTTTTCTTCCTTGTACAATGACAGTAGTACTTCTTGAGTACTCCATTGATGGAATCTGTCTCTTCTTTGTATAACAGTTGGAAACAACACTGTTAGCATTAGTATTTATGTTGTTACAGTCTGAGAGGAAAACAGAGGATCTTTGTGCTCATACATAGTTGACACACTGTGATGTATTCTAGTGTCTTCTTCTCCCTCGTCCTCTTCATTAAATAGTGCCTCTGTATAGGGTTTGAAATGTTCTTTACATAAAATACTGTGCAGGCCATGAATCTTCATGAACAAAAAAAATTGTAGGTGTAGAGCACAGTTCTTACTAATATTTGCACCTACAGCTGGTAGTACCTTAAACAGAACATCAAAGCACTCTACAAAGAGTAATTTTGTCTTGCTGGCTTGTGAGGTGAGACCTACATAGCCCATGCATGCCAGAGTTGCACATTCATGGAATTAGCTGTTTGCAGCACAAGTGTGCTCTCCAATCTGAGTCTTCATGTTAAAAAAAAGATGGCTGTTCATTACTCACTGGCTCTAGAAATAACACTGTAAATGTGATGCAAGGGAGGGAGTAACATCTGCCTGGGTCAGCAGTTAACCTGAAAAAATGCTCTTGAGTTAACACCCTTTTTCATCTCAGTTAGGATCCTCCAGCTTCCATGTTTGCTGGGAGTGTAGTACTGGGGGGGGGGGGGGGG